AAATTGAGGATTTTTAGGTAGTTATCCTTAAGGTTGTTGGAGATAAAGTTAAATAAAAATTGGATAAATGTCAAAGTAACTGCCAGACCTGCAACCCCACTACCAGATCATGGAGGAACAGTACCGGAAATCATGGAGGGAGAGGAACAGCACCGAAGCAAAGAAAAGCCAGAAGTGGAGATCAGTTACCGGCCTGCCCAGCACACTCACAGACTGCCCAGAGCATGTTTTTCAGTTTTCAGACTGCATTTTCCAGATTTCAGCAATAGTTTTCAGATTTTCCAGATCTTCCAGATTTTCCAGATTTGTTCATAGTCTTAGCCTAGGTTTGTTCATCATATTTTCTCTCGCAAATTCCAATTTAGATTAGTTTTTAAGCATTTGGAAGCAACTTAGCCTTCAAAACAGGTCTGCCCTTTTGATTCGGTTAGTTCTTCTTCTTTTTATGGATTTAGTTTTGTTATTCATTCATGTAAATAGGTTGAACATTTTCTACCTTTGTTCTTTTACCTCTGCACAATATCCAGACATGCAGTTTGTTTAATTTCAATTTTCAGATTTAAATTTATAAGTTTCCAGACTTTAATCATTTCATAGTTTCTTCTTCAACTTTAGTTGTTATTATGGGCTGCGTAGTTGAAATCATTGTCTGTTATTTTACTTATTCTGTTGTCTGTGAATTTAATCTTCATGGCATGTTATTTCCTGTTAATTACTTCATATGAGTTTAATTGCTTTAGGATATTGCATTTATTTTAGGATTTGTAGCTTTTATTACACTTGTCTGGTTGTGAAGTCCTTGGAGGTTTCCAAGGCAATTAGTAACCCATTTTGCAGAGCTCTACCATCTGTTTTGCAACATCGTCTAGGGCGCAATTCATTTCACAGACGTTCTTTCCGGCCATCCTATTGGAGGTCGACCGCTGGAAAGGAGAAGGGTCGTCTGAAAAATCCTGTTTTCTTGTTTTTAGACAAAGCAAGTGGCACGCCTAATAACCAACTCACATGGTAAAGGCCGGCTGAGGATTTTTTGAGGAAACAATTGATAAACTGAATATTGAATCTATGTAACAATTCAATTTAAAAAAAAAAAAAATCCATTGCAGACACCCCTCAAACTGCATATCCCTATTTCACATCCATATTAACCACTAATCAAAATTTCAAGGCAAATTATATTATATTAGACATAGGGGATCATCTAAAAGCTCCTCAACATGGTCAAGAAAAAGTAAAGTCTCATGTGCCAGTATTCCTGCGGCCAACACGGGCAACAAAACCAGCTTTAATTGGAGCAACTGATCGTCCAGAGCCACACTGCAAGAACAACATTAGAAAATAAGCATGACTGCAAACAAAAATGACATAAAGAGCAGGTGCATCAATGCAATCTAGGAGAATGTAGAATATGGGAATAATAAACACCACAGAAACAATTAAGGCAAGTAAAATATCCAACAACAGTTTCAATTTAAAAAACAGTTCTATTCTCTGGTTAAAAAATGAAAGGTGTAGGAGACTTGAAAAAATTCATTTCATCAAAGTGATAAGACAATCTAACAATGCAGGCAGTTCAAGAACCATCATAAACGTCCTTCCATACCAGATTCCTTTTAATCATCTTTTATACAAAATAAAAAGGGAATAAGTTTTCAAGGAGGCTTCAGAACAATCAAAAGAGACGATTCTCAGGCTAATGCAAACAGTCCTAAAACCAATCAAAAGTCATGTCAGTAAAAATAATGAAACTTGTATTACTGTTACCTTCTCACATCTGAGAAAGAAGAGACGATTCTCTTTCATGAGTATTGTGTCTGGACTTTTGCAACCAGGGCAAATCACATAATCACCTGAAAAAATAAGGCATCAAGTGTTCAGAATTCAAGTGTGTTTGTTACTTTCCTCGTGGACATGGTTGTACAAAATAAATAAGACACTTACTGATATAACGACGCAAAATCCATTCAAAATTCTTGGGTGCAAACCTGCCTTTCACAACCAACCTTTGTTGTCCATCAAGAGAACCACTAGTCCCCAGCTCAGCAAGCAAGAAAGCCATAACATGGTCTGGTTGTCGATGCATGCTAAAAAGTTTTACAGGACAAAAAGGAATAGTTAGACAGGGGGAGAAGGTTTAAATATCCTTTGAAGAAAGAAATCAAAACAAACAGGACTACAGGAAACATGACACTTCTTGGATTGTAAGTGCCGTATGAAGGACATCAAGACACAAGATGCTCGAAAGAATGCAAGGTTATAGTACTACTTTAAAAGCAGAACAAGGCAGACAATATGGGGGAAAAAGAAGATATAAACGTACATCCTGCAAAGATCCATGAAGTTCACAAAAACTGTTTTCTTTGTGCCCTCACGAAGCACTTGGGGAGGCCTCATAACAGTTCTACGCCTATCTGCAGCAAGCTCTGGGTTATTCTCCCGCAGAATGTTAAACACCCGACCAAGAAGCTACTTGCATCACATGACACCAAACAAAACCTTGTTATGATAGCAAAAAAGATTACGCATAAAATCAAATATACAAGATAATGTTCATGGGGTATAACAAATGGCAAGGGTAGGGACTGAAGCGGAATACTAGAAGTGAATTAATGACTTAAAAACAACCAAGATGCATACCATTAACCTCAGATCACTCCTCCACACAAGTATATTAATACTTCAGACAGAAGAGAAAAAACATATGATGAATTCAGGATATATACCTCCTCATATATATAATCACGATCACTTCCTTCCCAGGGATAGTGCTGCTGCTGCGCAACTACTTCACCTTCGTCATCTTCACCAGGATGATCTGAATGGCCAGAAAAAACTCTATGAGGCAATAGAACATTAACATGATCAACTATAATTTCAATCAATGAATTTGAATTCTTACCATTCAAATCATCAGCCACATCTCCGATTTCCTCATTCAATATGTTGGTTTCTACCTGCAAAATCACAATAGACTCTTACAGTCACCCAAGATTGAGAAAATATATAAATATATATATATATATGCCTTCACTTAAGTACTTCCAAAATAGACTCTTACTGGTTTCTTCTTCTTCTTTTTCAGGCCAGTAAAAGTGCTTTCAAGTCCATCAGAGACTGCAAGTAGAAAAATAATAATAATAATAATAGTAATCTCCAGGAAATTAAAATACAGATTGTAGCACAATTTAATAATTCATGAATCACAACAATGCACCTGACAATGATTCAGCTGTCTCAGCTAGCTTGTCCGCAGAATCATCTACAGGATCCTGCAGAACAACCTTCTTCTTCTTCTTCTTTTTAGTAGGATCGAAGGGAGCAAGCTAAACCAGAAAACAAAAAAAAAAAAAAATTCAATAATCTATACACTTCTCGAATGAAGAATTCAACAGCATCTTGTTCTCCAGGAAAAGGATTACAAAATATCAAATT